AGTAAGTTCTTATTTTTGCTTCTCGAATCTTGAGCAATACCGTGAGATTTAAAAAAAAAATAGACTAGCCTCTGATACCAATTTATCCCTACAATGTTTGAATAGTTCAGCCTCACTCTCTGTTTTTATTACCGACAAGCCATAACACCTTTTTAAGACTTTCCACCTATCAATCAGGATATTTCCTCCTACATGCGTCTACGAAAACATTCGTCCAGTATCTCTTGAATATTGTTGACCTGACTCTTATAGATGATTCAAACAGGAAAGAAACTTTGCCCTTAATAAAAATAGTATTGTTACCTTCATCACTATTTCCCCCTCCCTTTTTTATTTGCCTTCGTTCCCTTTTTCTCGATCGTTTCTTCCTTATTTCCTTGCGTCTCCCTTGGGCAGAAATTGAGTTCAAGAAAGGGTTAAACAATCTAATAAAGTATGCTTCCGTTTGCAGTAATTGTTCGGCGTTAACGCGTGTAATGGGAATCGCCACATACCCTCCAACCTGCCAGTGTCGAAGCAACCTGTACAATCTGTGATTCCTTGCATTTGAGTTCAACAGGGCATTCACTCTACCGACATGTTCTTCCCATCTACACTGAGCCAATTTAACCGAGCACCCCACATAGACATGCTTGCACCATGGTAAAACCAATATATAGACCAGTGGGCCGAGGCATGAGATAAAATCATAGTCTACAGACAATAAATAGCGAATGAATGGGATAAATTTGTCACACCATAAAAGTTGCCTCAAGAGGATTAACAATAGCACCGTCTTTCTGAAAATATTATCAACCTTACCTTCCTTCAGCAGTTCCTTATTCCTATGTGCATCTCTGCACGCAAGAGCGAGATTAGAAAGCTCACCCACGCTCGACAACCAACCTTAACATCCTCGAAAGATTTCCTCTTCCCCCTCTTCTCCTTGGGTCTGCTTAACCAAGTCCTTTGAATTCTCCGAGTCTTCGATCACTTGAACATCGTCATCCCCTATGGTCCGTTTGCGCTCCCGTTTACCAAACAAATGCTCAATATAGATCCCCACGATCTCTTCAACTGATGCCTCGATGGTGAAGTAGGTGATTTTCTCTCCATCGCACTTCTCAATCTCTCTCTTCTTCATTTTTGAAAGTTCCCCACAAAATCTTCTTCGAAATCCCTTCCTATCCTCATTCATCATTTTGGCAAATCTTAGGTGTGCATGTTCCTTCGTCTCCTCTGATTTCCTTGGGTTAGCGGCCTTGCTTAAACGAATTCTCAGGTTCGAAGGTGATCCGCTTTTCCTTGCGATACACTTCCTTTTAAAATTTGTCGGGGTGGGAGTTGTCGCCACGTTGATCCGTCCAATCCTCTCTCTTAGAGCTTGCACCTCCCTTTCCACCATATCCTTATCATCTTTGATTCTTCTGCAGGCTTCCACCAGCTTCACATAATCACCCGGCGTTGGAATATTAGTTCCTTGTCCATTCGCTGCTTTCAACGGTGTACTCTTCTTTACGGCTTCGGTTGCGGTGTGCCGTCTTCATTCGCTGCTTTCAACCGTGCACTATTCTTTACGGCTTCGGCTGCGGTGTGCATCACTCCTTTCTTCAACGCATTAACTTGCTCTTTCAGATACATCACATCCTCTATCAGATGTTGGTTGTCTGATCTCAGGGACTGCAACTCTTGTTCCGCGTCACTCGTTTGACAGACTTTCGTCTGCAAATCAGCCATCGCGTGCTTCAACTTCAAAATCTCTTCGTCCTTTCTCTTGTTGACATCATCTATTTTGTCTTTTCTGGAGTCCTCCTCTGTTCATCTTCTGATCTCATCCGCAGTTACCGTGAGAAAAGGTTCTCTTATTTCAACCTTCTTTCCTAAGACTTCTTTACAAACAAGCTTCATCTGGCTCCCGAGCATCCGCCCAATACTTGCTTTGAAGTCTCCTTTTCTTTCTCCTCCTTATTTCTTTTTTCCTCCTCTTTTTGTCTTCTTGCTTCCTCCTCTTTCTTGGCAGCCTCCTCCTTTTCCTTCTTAATACCTTCTCGCTCCTCCATCTCTCCAAACATCCATGTCCACATTCTTTCTATCATTTTTTTCCATGCAATCTGGATTCCACGACCTTCTGCTCCCATTATAGCCACCGACATATGAACTGTTCTCATAGCCGCCAACATATTCACCGTCGTTGTAGCCGCCACCTTATCCATCATTATGTCCACCATTCCCTTGATTGACGCGCATATCCTGAGAAGGCTCTTGGTACAAAAGGATAGCTCCTGAAGACGGTAAGATCGGAGCAGAACTTGACGTTGAAGCCTGATTGGATCTGTTGAACTGATCCACTTGCTGCTTCATATCTCGCATATGCGTTCGACACTCCCGAATAAAGTGTCCTGACCTTCTATAGTAGTGGCATACTCTCGGGTCCATTTGACTCGAAAAGTAAAAAGGAGGATAACTAACTAACTAAGAAGGTAAGGACGGTAGCAGGGGAGAAGAAGGGATAGGACAATATCGATAAATTAGAAAATAGAAAGTAACGAAGGTAGCATAAGTAGAATAGGTAAAAAATAGGTAGGTAGGTGGAAACGCAATCACACAGTCCTAGTACAATTGCTGCACTGGTTGGTGTGTGAAGAACTAATGTTGTAAACATCAGTCATAGTGAGCCAAACACACAAGTGTTCAATATACACGAAGCACACCACACATGAGAGAGAAGAATGAATCGAGCGCATGTATGCGTCAACAGATAAAACATGACAAAACAGATGCAACTCAAGCGATGAGACCTTACACTGTGTTTTTGTCGGTCGCCTGTCCGGCTTCGTCAGGGGTGATTCTGGTAAGCGCAAGATGAAGAAAACATTATGTTATTAAACTCTTATATCTTCAATATCTCAATTCCTTCGACGTTGGTCCTACAATACACCAGACCATCGGCCAACTAAAATCTGCACTCCTCACAAATTCTTCTAGAAGTACTTATACCCAGCAGTCAAGCAGTCATCAGATCGAGTCCAAGGTTACACAGTAAGGTTAAAGAAACAGAGGGACTAGAAATAGAGGCCAAATCCCAGGAACCGGAAATAAAAAGTAGAAATAGAACGTAGGACCTAGGTTCAAGTTCTAAAGATACCAACTGGAAGGGTAGAGAGCAGAGTTAAAATGCAGGTCCCAAGTTCAAGTCCTAGAAGAACTAACGAGAAAAATAAAGAAAGACAACGATATTGCCCGCCATTAAACACAGAAAAACTGCGAAGATTAACCACTGTATATGATGGCTATCACAGCGTCTGGGGAAGTTGATTTTTTAAAGAAACTAGCGGGAGTCACAAAAACAAGTTATGGGCCAAGCTATAGTTCCAAACTTCAGCTCGGGCAATGTATACAACCAAACTCTCTGGTCACGTAGGGGGCATGGAGTGCAATTCCAAACTGTATCTTGCCCCGTAGTGCAATTATAACTTGTTTTTGTGACTCTACCGAAGTTACCCCGTCTTTTTTTTTTTCCTGCTTCTTCTTCATTTTTTCTCTTTTTCGTTTTATTTGGGATGTAACGGTCGTGAGTACCAGTCTTAGCAGTCGAGAAATAAGAATGGGACCCAGGGTCGGCAAAGCTCGGTGCGCAATAAAATTCAGGTTCAACAAAAAAAAAAAATCGGAGGTAGTTGTGGTTTAAGAAAAACAGAGAAGTATTCCCTCCTCCTTCGTTTTGTGGCATCCTTTGGCATTTTCACAAAGAATTTGAGTAGTAGAACAATCATGGGTCTAACCGTCTAAGTAAGAAACCTCCCTGAAATTGGTTTAGTTTTGTTTTTTGGATGTTGCAGGGGTGTGGCTCAGCGCCGTGGTTGAGGGCAAACGCCGGACGTCCCATATTTTTTTTTATCAGATTGACCATCTCATTGATGTACAGCCTTGGGCACTGCGCCAGATTGTAATGAAAGCTAGACTGTAATGAAAAAAAAAGGAAAAATAGGGCGCAGTCAAGGTTTTCAGTTTAAATACGTTTCAGTCATGGTTTCGCGAATTTTAATCCACAGTGAGAAAAATCGTGAATGTATCCAACCCAGCTTTAGGGTTGCGTGGGGATGTGTTGTATTTGAGGGATGCCTGAAGTGGATTTAGAACTTAAAACGTGACCATGGTCGAGTGCTGAAGGTGACTCTCAATTGACAGGGTAACCCTTGGAAAGGGTCTGTCAGACTATGTTTTGTGTAGTCTGGACCCGTGTTTTTCGGTTAACTTTGTTGTTTTCGTTTTTTGGACTTTTTTCGTTTTTGCTTTCCTTTTAGTTTTTTGGTCCTTCTTAGCAATCCGACCCAACGGGAAAGGCCCAAGTTGGGGCCGGTGGTTTCCCAACGTCGTTCCATCGAATTGATTGTTTCTGGGCCTGGACTAGTGGAACCGATAGGTACTTAAGCAATGAGGAATAGTGTTTTGCTCTCTTTCCAGGACCGACGGGGCAGTCGTCATTTCCGGGGTGCCGATATTGCAATGGAGGCGGGTTGGTGGTGGAAGGGTTTTTTGAGGGGATACGTAGGAGGAAGAAACCCCCTGATGACGATCACCGGGAGGCGATCGAAACTGGTCGGGGATCCGCTTTTTTGGATGGATGTAATGGACTAAATTTTCCTGTCATCTCGTTGCTTTGCTGTCAATACATGCATGCATGTTTGACGATCTCACTGTGTATGCTCTTGCATTGTCTAAGATTAAGACCTGCTTAAGCCCGTGTGAACCCACCTGGATGCTGTGCCGGGAGAGTGTGAGCATGTTTGGTTACAAAATGTTTTCAGCGAGTTACGAGCATTGTCGATGTTTGAAGTATTTGTTTTGAAGATCGCGGGAGATTGTATGATTTACCAGCCTGGACGACGACGGAGTACGGACCATTGAAGTGGTCGAAGACTCTTTCAAAGGATGCCGCACTAGAACGGTCGAGATGACGACCTCCGACGAAGTGACTACCGGGATGAGCGTGATCGGAGGTATCGTCCCCCGAATCGCGTTGAGAATGTCGAACCCGAGGATCGGGTTGAGTGGAGGACCGACGACCATCAACGTGATGGGCGTGGTTGTGACGAGAGGAGCCTGGATTCGTATGGTGAGCCACTGGTGGTTTGTTTTGGGTGCAAGGCGGTAGGCCATTACCGTAGCGATTGCTGGAGGTTGTGGACGAACCCAACTATGAGAAGACAAATGGAGGCGGACGGATACGTATGCCCCCCAGAGTACCAGCGTCGTGGGCAGTCGAGCTCTCCTCACCCCAACCGCGGGACTAGCCTGAAACGGTCCCCATCTGAAGAACCTGCGACAAAGAACCGGACAGAAGGTTTGGAGAAGACAGTGGAAGCCATGAAGGCGTTCGTGGATACCGAGATGGCCCGACGCGCTGAGAAGGAGAAGAAGAAACGGGAGAAGGTTGAAAGGAAACAACGTGAGGAGGAAGAGCGAGCGGCGATTGAAACGGCAAATCGAGCGGAGGAACTTAATCAACAACGACGACTTGAGAAGATTCGCAAACAAGAGAAGGAACGCGAAGCATTGGCGAAGGTTGTTGAAGTATCTGTCGGAATACGACTTGGCAGCGTTGACGACCGTCTCAAAAACATTGTTCGGGAGGTCCTATCGGAGAGCCAGCTCTTAGCCAGAGGTAAAGGGAAGGCACCCGAAGCTATTGCATCCACATCTGGAACGGCCAAGGAGAGTGAATTGGAGGCAATTACCAAAAGTATTGAAGGTCTCCAGATATTGGAGAAACACAAACACGTTGAAGATACGACGACGGGGAACAACCCCCCTGTTACGACCCCAACCAAGCGAGTCACCCGTAGAACGAGTATGAGACCTCTACGCCTTGCTGAGAAGCTGCGCAGACGACCAATATTGAAGAAGTCGAGCACCCTACGCCTCAACCGTCGAGCAATGACCGCGGTGAAGACTACTAGTGAAAACAAGACGGTCGAACGCATGCAGTTCTTGGAAGCCACGCGCAAGGATTTAATCCCGATTCATCATGACGAAATCCGCAAGATTTATAACAAAGAGGGAATCCCGTATAAGACCAAGGTACAAACCATCTTTGATCTGGTGGATCGTCGTGCTGAACTGAAGTTTGGATCTGAACAGCGAGGAACCGGTATCATTATCCTGAATTCCGAATCAGGTGACGTGTCTAACGATGAAGACGATGAGAGTTACACATGAAATAATTTAACCGTTGACCAGTGGTGTCGTATTTGCGAAATCGTGGTTGAATTCCGTAGGGGACTGACAAGGGTAGATAACACAGTAGAGACGGTGTATCAGTTATTGGTCATATGACTGGCTTTGAAAGGCCTGATTGCTGGCTCGAAAAGTTTGTTCCAGCTTGGCTAGATCTATATCGAAGGAAGGGCTTGGGGTTCCTAGAATCTGTCGGTTGCGTTTATGTCATTACCTCGCCAGTTTGCAAATCGCAATACGTTGGTCAAACGTCCAGATCACCTATTGTCCGATGGAGGGAGCACTGTTCGGTCTTTAATCGTGGACACAAGTCTACATATCTCTATCGTTGGTGGGAATCTTTCGGCGACGAAACATATACGTTGATACCTGTTGACTGCTGTTCTGACGAAGATTTGACATCTTTGGAGGCATTGTATATCAACCGCTGGTCGCCTTTCCTTAATACTGCGGGGAAGACAAGTAAGGGGAAGCAAAGGCGTCGTTTGGGGAAGAATGAGAGAAAACGCGACCCCGCACACTCTGTGACGAATTGTTATGTAGCGATGGAGCCTGTAGCGTTACACCCGATCAGATTCTGTGTGAATGGCGAGGAGCCAACTATTCGAGTGTTTGACCTTCTAGCTGATCTGGAATCTCTTGACACGCGAAACTTCAAATTGGTGTCGACTGGTGGCTCGATTTGGTGTGACACGTGGAAGAGACTGAAGAAAGCTTTTGGGAGGACTTCCCTCATTATTGATGGCTCTCTAACAAGCGTTCGTGATTGTAAGTACATCTTTGAAACGGGAGGTACCTTTGACATTTGGTGCCTACGAAGATGGCAATCGCAAGGTAAGTCGGTCCAAGTCGATTCTCATCTCACTATTAAAAAATCCTTGCAGACTGGATGCCATTGGGAATTGGAATTTGGATCAGTTGGATAGGCTCTTCGGAGCGATGAAAGATTTCCAACGAGGTTCAACACAAGCTTATCTTCGACACTTGCTTTCTCGGATTATTTGTGAGAAGTATGATTTCAACTTGTCAGCACCACTCGTTATTCGCCCACTGTTTGATGATAGAATTAGATTGTGTGAAGTTCGAAAGGTAGCCAACGATATGCTTGATAGGTGTGAACTCCCACGTTGTGTCGTTCGCAGAGCACGTTCTACGGTCCGCATTGTTTGGGTTAAGAACCCGATCGTTGGGGACTTGTTGCATAATCAACGAAAATTTGCTCGTGTTGATTTGCCAGCCTGCTCAAGTGTAGGCTTTCCTTACCCTAGGGTAAGAGGTCACGTGCGCTGCAGACTACAGGAGTTGGAGGGTATCCCCGACTTGGCTTTGAATGTTCACAACGTACCGTTTGCACATTCGGAAGAACGAATGAGTAGACAGCGTACCGAGATCATCAAAGGTTTTAGACTATGGGTGAATGGGAGCGGCCAATTAGTATCATGCTCGCTATCCGAAGTGGCACGATGCATGACATCTACGACCACGGAGGCACGCGTGTATTTGGATAAGGGTGTAGTACTAGCACTCAAAACAAGGTTCGAAGGGCTTGTACTTACCTCTTTGGATAGGAACCCCGGAGAAACTTTGGTGATGTGTCCACTGCTATTATACCAGGGCATGTTCGATTTGTTCATACGGAACGAAGGGTATATTCCATTTGCGGGCATTGAAGACGAAGCCTTGGCCTCAACGAGGAAATGCTTGAAGGAAAAGGGTTTGCTTCCGTTTGGTAAGTGGGATGGTAAAGGACAGATTGGGATGGCCTATGCATTGCTTAAGCATAAGGATCTGGACCGGTACAGACCCATTTGTCCGACGTTCTCAAAACCAACTGCGAGGATGTGTAAAGATATAGCCAAAGGACCCAATCAACTTCTTTTTTCCTTAATACCATAGGACCAACACTTTAATTTGAAGTCGGTCTCAGCACTGACGAGCCGTTTGGAATCATTTAATACTAAGATTGCCCGGTAAGGTAGTGGTCTAGTTTTGACAATGCGATCCTATGACATTAAGGACATGTTTAGCCGCCTACCACACACGGAAATCCTGATGGAAGTTGATTGGATGATCGAGTGGCACAAGCAGAAGGGTAGGCACTTCGTGCGAGTCAACACATGGGGAAGAGGATCTACATTTGGACTGACTACCGGGCAGGATCATTGGCGACTCTTGGAGTTTGACCACATCTTCAAGTTTGTACAAATCGAACTCAAGCATACATTTACCTTTGCGTTGAGTGTGGTTATGTTCCTATCCCGCCATCTGCTGGACGGGATAGCCTGCTTTTCGTATCAATCGACAGGGATGATTGTGGGCAGAGTTTGTCGGACTCTGCTTTCAATTGATAGGGTAACCCTTGGGAAGGGTCTGTCGGACTATGTTTTGTATAATGGTAGCTGCATTTCGGTACTTGTTTTGTTTTTGTCCTTTCCGATAGTTTTCTATAGTTGTTTGAAACCGGAAACGAATTTGTCTGGACCTGTGTTTTTCGGGTAGCTTTCTTGTTTTCGTTTTTTCGTTTTTGCTTTCCTTTTAGTTTTTTTGTCCTTCTTAGCAATCAGACCCAACGGGAAAGACCCAAGTTGGGGCCGGTGGTTTCCCTGCGTCGTTCCATCGAATTGATTGCTTCTAGGCCTGGATTAGCGGAACCGATAGGTACTTAAGCAATGAGGAATAGTGTTTTGCTCTCTTTCCGGGACCGACAGGGCAGTCGGCATTTTCGGGATGCCGATATTGCAACGGAGGCGGGTTGGTGGTGGAAGGGTTTTTTTAGGGGATACGTAGGAGGAAGAAACCCCTTGATGACGATCACCGGGAGGCGATCGAAACCGGTCGGGGATCCGCTTTTTCGGATGGATGTAATGGACTAAATTTTCCTATCATCTCGTTGCTTTGATGTCAATACATGCATGGACGTTTGATGATCTCACTGTGTAATGTATGCCCTTGCATTGTCTAAGATTAAGACCTGTAATTCAGCCTCTACAACAACCTGGGCTTAAAAAAAAAAAAAAACTGAGAACGTGACTGCGTCGTCGTTACCCCTAAAAGAAAAGAAACTTTTTATTAAATTAAAAATTAAAAATTAAAAATAATAAAATAATTAAAAAAAAAAAGCTTATCAAAAGGTGTTTCTTTTTTTGGACTAACTCTGGCGCAGTCATGAAAACAGTTTGAAAAATGCAGTTCAGGTATTCCCCTGAACATAACAGAACCCCATGTGACCCTACCGTACCGGAAATGTAGCTTGTATACATTCGACATTTTCAGACTTTTTTTTTTTTTTTTTTTTTTTT